CCCAACCAGTATTAAAATTTCTTATTTCTGTTAATTTGGCCCTAAATAAAAATTCCTAATTAATCCCATATAACCCAGTGCTAAATTAGATTCTGTATTTATTATTAATTATTTAATAATATATTATCACATACACCCACAATTATATAACTATAAATATTTATGTGGTATTTAATTAAACATTCAGGGTGTCACAGAAGGACTTCAAAGGATTAATGGGAAAAAACAGCAAGCAAGGTCCGAGCCCTAAATTGCTGATAAGGAGTTGGAGGCACTAGGGCCTGGTAGGGGGTGAAGTATTGGCCCTCAGAGAGAATGAGCCTCAATTCATCAATCTAATTTGGATTAGGAGGCAGAGGGGGAGCAGTCAGAGGTTCCCTGATCGAATCTAGGAATTCAGGTTTGGCCATACATTCTAGCCAATCGGAGGTATAAAGTTTTGTTTTTTTGGCTAAAAGTGCAGGACTGATCCCTAAAGCTTCATCAGGACGTTGGACACTTCGAACCATCCGAGATGGCAAGATAGAAATATATCATTCTAAAAGCAGATTGTCCTCAAGACTGCGTATACGGTCAATAGGAACATATGGATATACTACAGAACTGCGTTTGGAATGAAGGATTTCAAGAGGGCCATCGAATTCTGGAAATCGATGATGAATGCATTCCCTCATCTGAGGTTAAGTAGGGGTAGGCCAAGTTCCCCAGCCAGAGGTCGTAGAAGAAGAAAAAGAAGAAGCAGCAACTTTATCCCACGCGAAAGGCCTTGTTGCAGAAGAAGAGCTTCCAATATCCATGATTGCAAATTTGTGTTCCAAAGAATCGTAAGCAATAGGTTCTTGGTTTGAAGATCGGTGATTTGCGAAAACTTCCATAACTTGTATAAATGGGGGTGGATAAAGGTGGCTAATCAATGCATGAAGGTCCTTTCGAGGACGAACAACATCATCAAATGACTCTTTGTATGCTTGATCAATGTAAGAAAAGACTTGCTTGGCTATAAAAGATGTACCAATCTTCTCGAATACTGAGATAGTGGGAATGTTCAAGGGTTAGAAGAGAATTTAATGCAAATGTTTCATTGATGAATGACGGTTGCATTTCTAAAAGGTGCAAAGCCCATGCACGTTCTAAGATGTGGGTAAAATACCTTGATCCACTAATATCACAAGTATTGGGTATATTAGTGCGGGGGTAATGTTGACTACATATTTTGTACAAAATCACAGTTCGACACATAGCAGGATGATGGCAATACGGGAAGACAATGTAAATCTTCAATCGTAATCACACACGTGATAGTTAGTATTGGTTATTGTAGATCTGTATAGCACTGGATCAGCAAAGAGATACAAAATAATGTGGCTTCAACGGTTACTCATATTTAAATTCAAAATCATAAGGAAAGCCTAACTGCAGATATGGCATAGTTGAGCTAACTATAAGGCAACATGATCAGCGATCATGGATAGATGATTCGATAGTTAGAAATGCATTTCAACGGTTGTCATTGAGAAGTATAAATAGCAGAGAAGGCCCCAGACTTAGATCTAAAAAACTAGTTTTATCTACTTTACTTTCCTTTCAGTTTTTGCATTTCTTGTTCTTTACATTTCTACACTTCAAATTCCTGCATTACACTTCGTTCATAGGAGTAGTTTCAAGTAGTTTGTCGCTGTAAACCTCTACAAGACTGATTTGGATCTTTGTAAGTCTTCTATTTAACTTAATGAAATACTACAATTGCTCTTCATATTAATCGTTGTTTACTTAATTCTCCTAAATAAAGCCACCAGTAAAAGTTCTCTTCATTGAGGCTGAAATAACTAAATTACAATCGTCTAATAATTAGTTGGCAATTAATATTCCGTAAAGACTGATTGATCCTTACTGGTACGCTCAAAATTACAATAATAACTTTCGAAAGCCAAAAAGCCAACAAATACTAATAATAATCCCTAGAGCTATTTACCTAATAACAAATAATTATGAAATGCATGATGTGAAATATAAAAATAATAATCAACAAATCATGAAATATTATTGATAGAATACATACATAAGGTCCATGTGAATTCTTGAAAACAAAAGAAAGTTCCCATACAATGGGATGTGTACAAAGGAAGGAGCCATGGAAAGTAATATCGGATGAGCTTTGTGTTAGAATCATGTTGATTCCCATAAGTACTAAATGTTAATTACTCAATCATAGAGTGTTGGGTCGTATATTTTATTTTTTAATATTATTAGATTAAGTATATTTAAAAATAAAAAAATAATGAAAATATAAAAATAAAAAAATTACAAAGAAGCTAGTTAAAAAATTAAACTCAAAATTATATTTCAATAGAGTAGTGGAGAAATAATTTTATTTTAGAGTGGTGCAAGTGTCATGTATGTATAGTGCAAGTTATTCTTATGTGTCAGAGTTATATCAGAACAGATCCCCATCTGTAGTGCAATTATTTTGTGACTTATTTTGTGATTGTTTTACCTATTTAGAATTTGCCTAATACTAAACGGGTATAACGCCTACATAGACGCATTAAGGATTATTAATATGGAGATGCAAAAATATGATTAAAAATTTAAATTTTTATAATTTAAAATTATCTAATATAATCCGTTTGGGGATTTACTTTTTTAGTCAATTAGTTAAAAAGTTACTAAATTAGCCAAAAAATCAACAACTCATACAAAAAAGTCAAAGATTCTCTTTTTTCTCTACTTTTTACACATCTTTTCATAATTAGCCAAAAAGTCATCTCAAACATACAAGTTTTTTTTACCTACATGTTTAGCTAAATAACTAAAAAGTTACTAAATTAGTCTGTTCCCAAACGAGGCCAGTATATTTCAAATTTTCTGGGGTGCGATGGCCCTCAACACCCATAGATCCGTCCTCCATCACATAAGATCTACATTTATATAAATATTGTGTAATTTTTTTTTACAGATATCCAACATTTTTGAAAGTTTTAATTCTGTAAAAGAGAACAAACTATTTAAGGTAGGAGATTATATTGTAGTTAACGTATGAGTCTATGGCCAGTTGGACCGGCGTAGCTTCCGTCAGTCTTCGTCTTTATCTTCATCTTCGTCTTCGTCTTCGCTCTCGTTTTCTACGGTGGCGATCTCTACAATAATCGCATCAATGGACCCACAAGCAGGTGTCACCGTCAAGTACGCTTTAAAATCATGGCCTCACCACTCATCTCTGTCTACCTCTACCTCATATATGCGACTAACGTTCCTAAGTCCGGTGTTTGTTCACCTGTTCATGTATATCTCTGCTTGGTTGGTCATGCTTCAAGCTTAAATAACAACTGTTTTTTTTTTTCTTTAACTTTTTAATAATTAACCTTGTTTTACTTTAAAAAAATGTTTATTTTATAAAATATAAGTATAAATTGTATGAAGTAATCTTACATATATTCTCAAAATAAATAATTGTAAATATTCTATTAAACTACATCTAAATCCTAAATATACCTATTTTGTTATGAGCAATGCTAATTATTGTCATTGTTAATTTTAGTATGTGTAAAAAATATACATACTCCTTCCATCCATTTTGAAAAGTAAAAAACATAAAATTTTATATTATTTCAAAACTATCCTTTAAAAATGATTATAAATATATTTAACAGTGGAAATAAAGGAGCAATATGATAAATCAATATCTTGTGATTTGACTTTAAAACAATAATTATATATTCCATTAAAAAATTTGAATTTTCAGAAGTGACCAACATTGTGGAACGGGGAGAGTATTAAAAAATTGATATAATAATTGTCCATTTTGAAAAGTAAAAACATAAAATTTTATATTATTTCAAAACTATCCTTTAAAAATGATTTTAAATATATTTAAGAATGGAAATAAAGGGACAATATGGTAAATCAATATCTTTTGATTTGACTTTAAAATAATAATTATATATTCCATTAAAAATTTTGAATTTTCAGAAGTGACCAACATTGTGGAATGGAGAAAGTATTAAAAAATTGATTCTTTGTGACTTTATTTAATCCTTAATCAATGTGCGTGGTTGACTTAGCATGTTTTAATCAATATAATTAATAGCTCTATTTACCGAATCATCAAGTGGGAGGACAAAATTAATTTTTTTAGAACTCATTTCTTAAATGCAAAATTATTTCAAAAACATCCGTATTTAGGGATATGGATTCCATGTGGTCTTGCTACACAAAAAAAATAATTATTTAGGGATATGGATTCCATGTCTTCTTGCTACACAAATTATTTTTTAACTATAAATTACATTTTTCATTTGATCCAATAATTTAGTGGTAATTTGAGAAAATAATTACGGAATTATTAAAAAATTTAAGATTTTAAATGTTAATATTTATAAAATTTATTATTAATTTTTAATTATTTTCAAAAAATATAACTGACTTGATATTTTCCGTTCAAATTTTAGTTTGAGTTCTATTATTTTAATTTGGATAATATTAAATATATACTTTAAATTTATGATTAATTTAATTATTTCATTAAAATTATTTTTAAAATTTTATACTTATACTTTTAATATCAATACATATATGTTAACAAATAATAATTTTAAAATTGAATTAGAATAAGTGGGGGTAAATGAAAATTTACTTTAAAAAAATAAAAATTTTACGTTGTAGTAAAACAGTCCTTTCCCACTACAATCTCATCCACGACTGACGACGACTCTCCCACCCACAACAAACGGTCGCAGTCGTACTCCGATGACTGATCTGGTACGTTAGCGCACTACCATGATTTTTACCCGTTTCGTCGCCTTCTGATATCATCTGCCACGTGTAGGGCTCACGTATAGCCACGTCGGATGACGAGGGTGGTTTAACGGCACATAAACTTCTAACCAAAAATGGGACTCATCATGATTCGAGAAATTAAAAGGACCCCCGCGAAACGGGCTATAATCCCCTACTTCGCTCCCTTTGCTTCATCAAAACGGCAAAGATAAAACAAAGCTAACAACTGGTTTGTTCACTACTACAAAGACCCCCCCTCTCTCTCCTCTTTTTCTCTCTCTAACAACACACTCTCACCCTTTCTCTCTCCTCTGTTTCCACCTCCATTTCTCTCTCTGTCTAAAGCTCATTGTGTGGTGATCAAATGGTGGAAGAAAGAGATCGCTTGGACTACAGGTGAAAGTAAAGAATCATATGGGGAAAAGATTGTAATTTCTAGGGTTTGAACTTACTTTGACAGCTCAATTTAGTTGGAGTAGTTGGGAATCTCAGTTTCCTCTTGATTTGAGTTCAAATCAGGTCCATTAATGGTGCTTCATTGATGCAAATTGCAATGCTTTGCCCTATTAATACTTTCTATATTGGATAAAGCAGTCCAATGTCACGTGTTTAGCAAGTCATGTTGTGTGTATTTCTCATTAAATATTCTTGTTGTGCTGTTTGATAGTAATTGAAGAGATCAGGAATCTGCTTGTTTGTTTAGTAGCAAAATTCACGGGTATAGTGTAATTCAGTGAGAATTTTTTTGGGTATTAAGTTGTATTCTCTGATTTTCCGGGAAAGTGGAAAGGAAAATGACAATGGCAATTTGGGGGAGTTTAATCTATTTGTAAATTGAATAGCGGAATATGGCTGGTGGTCGAAGGAGAGGGATACATTTTAGCAAACTATATTCATTCTCGTGTTTACGGCCTTCGTTTAGAAAAGAACATAGCCAAGTTGGGAAAAAAGGTTACTCATGGGTTGTGTATTGTAATGATCCTGATAATCCGGAAACAGCTCAGCTTAATTACAGTAGTAATTATGTTTCCACAACTAAGTATTCAGCCGTGAATTTTATCCCCAAGGCATTGTTTGAGCAGTTTAGGAGGGTTGCGAATATATACTTTCTTATGGTAGCATGTGTTTCGTTTAGTCCTTTGGCTCCCTATTCGCCTTTTAGTGTTCTTGCGCCTCTGGTGGTGGTGATTGGAGCTACCATGATTAAGGAAGCTGTGGAAGATTGGAGGCGTAAAAAGCAGGTAGTATTTAAAATTTCAAGATTGATGTTTTTGGTCTTTTCGGTTGTATTACATGTTTTGCATTACTGCCTTTTCTTGAATTGTCATTGTGGAATTTCCATTATGAAGTTGACTATGTTATGCTTGCTAGATCTTTATTTTACTCATTATTTGCTAGTTCTTGTTCAACAAGATGCCAGCTATTTAATAATTATAACATTTAAATAACTGTATCTAAGTGAAGAGAAGTACATGTAGAAGGAGCATTAATGGTTAACACATTCCAAGTGAATAGTTTTAAGTTTTTTCTTAAAAGATAATAGTTGCTGCTGATTGATTACATGGTAATTCATTGAAACCTTTTGTGTCATCTCTGATTCAGGAATATTTTGTGGAATATTTGTAAACCCAACTTAATTTCAGATTGGTGTTTGCTGGAACTTGTTTTTCATACTTTTGTTAGATTGGATGAGTGCATTGCCTAATCAGATGCTGCTGCGTTCAGCTTGTAGTGGGTGCTGGTGTAGCAAAATGAAACAATGGATTTTCCAATATGGGTATGGTGGCATGGCTTTTCATATGGCCATCCTAACTTTCACCATCTGGATTTCAACTGGGACTCAAATATTGAGCGTATTTATCCACTTCCTGGCAATTTGGCAACTGTGTACTTCAGTTTGAGGCATGGCATGGAGTGCATTGCCATTTTGCATGGCTGTACTGGATATGTCCTTTAACTTCCTATTTGGCATCTTATTTCTAGAACAAAATTCTTGTCACTTCTTTAATTAGCATCTTATGTTTATTAACTAAATTCACCTCAAGTAGACATTATATGCATTTACCTCATGTCACTGCTGGGATATGTTCTTTACCAATCCACACTCTTTGGCTCGCAAGTCGCAATTATGAAATTTAATATTGAACCTCTGTTTTGATTTTTTTTATTTAAATATCCCCCCTTTTTCTTGGTTTCTGAATGTGCTTGATTTGGCATTTACTATGTATGTGTTAAAAGGAGTTTATAAGTATAGATTTTGAATATGCTCCATTTTGTGATGGCGAAGTATAATTGCCTAATACAGGGAATAGTCTACCATAGAAGCCCAATTGCCTAGTTTCATTGATTCCTTGGATATCCCAAATAACACTCATGTCCTAGTAATTCAAGGCCTATGTTTTCACCAAAGAAAAAAAAAAAGTCAATTCCAAAAATTATGGGCCCTTATGTTGTTATGTTCCTGCATTAATATTGGAGGCTGCTAACAAGATTCGAGGACTGAACACTGGACTCTTAACATTGATGAAACTATTTGAATCATATTTTCTCTTGTAAGCTATGCGTAAATTATAGGAAGTATAGAGAATAGAAACAATAAAATGGGTGCCGTGTCTATGTCCAAATCGTGTCGAACACAGACAGGACGTGGACAGCGTGTCATGTGTTGGATACGCTGCGTGGGGCGTCAATTTTTTTAATTATTATTTTTTTGAAAGACACATTGGAGACAATTCATAGACATGGTGTCCTTTGTCTGGGACATGCCTCTGGACATCTTTGTGATTTTTTTTTAAATCTAATTTTAGAAAGTTGATTTGGGCTCAAAGTAAAATATATGAAAACAAAGATGGAGAAAGTGGAAAAAAACAAAATAAACCCACATATATATATCGATGTCTCTCATATCTCTGTGCCCTAAATTTATATTCATAATATGCATAGCAAATAAAAAAATGTATATATATATTTTTTGTGGTTGTATCTCCATTGTCTTTATTCTAATTTTTTTAAAAATCAGCATGTCCTGTGTTTGTTCCCGTATCTATGCCTGTGCTTGTGTCCATGTCCTACTTCTTACCATAAATTGGTTCCAATGAACCACTAAAAGAGGGTAATTATTTTTTTTTCCCTCTCCCCCAACTTCCCGACAGTTTTATAACAGTCGGAAGGATAGTCTTTACTTTTGCCTACTTTTGCAAGTTTAGGTTGTTTCTTTGTTTTACAATTTTTTCCCTGACAAGAATTATTGCTTGTATTTGTAAATTATAGTGACACTTTGAAATGGTTTCAGGATATAGAGGCCAACAACAGAATGGTCAAAGTGTATGATAATAAGAGTGGTACTTTCTATGAAACCAAATGGAAGAAACTACGTGTTGGTGACCTTGTTAAGGTTTGCAAGGATGAATATTTCCCTGCTGACCTGTTTCTGCTTTCATCTAGCCATGAGGATGGGATTTGTCATGTTGAAACCACGAACCTAGATGGAGAGACTAATCTGAAGGTTAAGCATTCTTTGGATGTGACAGCGCCTCTGCGTGATGAAAGTTCTTTTCAGAAGTTTAAGGCAGTGATTAAGTGTGAGGACCCAAATGAAGAACTTTTTTCCTTTATTGGAACTTTGTTCTATGATGATCAAGAGTTTCCGCTTTCCATACAACAGATCCTTTTAAGAGATTCTAAACTTCGAAATACTGATTATATTTATGGTGTCGTTGTGTTTACTGGGCATGACACAAAAGTGATGAAAAATGCAACAGATCCTCCTTCTAAGAGGAGTAAGATCGAGAGGAAAATGGATAAGATAGTATACATCCTTTTTAGTGTTCTTGTTTTGACATCTTTTATTGGATCTGTTTTTTTTGGAATTGAAACTAAGAAAGACATTCATCATGGGAACTATAGAAGGTGGTATCTTCGGCCAGACAATGCAACTGTGTTTTATGACCCCAAAAGAGCTACACTGGCTGCAGTTCTTCATTTCTTGACAGGTCTTTTGTTGTATGGATATTTAATTCCAATATCTTTATATGTATCCATTGAGATCGTCAAGGTTTTACAGAGTATATTTATCAATCAAGATCTGGATATGTATCACGAGGAAACAGATACACCTGCACATGCACGCACATCTAATCTAAATGAGGAACTTGGCCAAGTTGATACTATACTGTCTGACAAAACAGGTACTTTGACATGCAACTCCATGGAGTTTGTCAAATGTTCAATAGCAGGCAATGCTTATGGCCGTGGTATGACAGAAGTGGAGAGGGCACTGGTAAGGAGAAAAGGTGTTGGGCAATCTGGTGTTGGGGATACTTCATCTGATTTGCCTGGAAGTACTGGTGATGGTGTGGACTTAGGAATCAAAGGTTTCAATTTCAGAGATGAACGCCTCATGAATGGGAATTGGATTAATGAACCTCATGCAGATGTCATACAGAAGTTCTTTCGAGTGTTAGCAATCTGCCATACAGCCATTCCAGAGGTGAATAACGAAACAGGTGAAATTTCTTATGAAGCTGAGTCACCGGATGAAGCTGCCTTTGTCATTGCTGCAAGGGAGCTTGGCTTTGAATTCTATGAAAGAACCCAAACGACCATCAAATTGCACGAATTGGATTACAAGAGTGCTAAAGTGGTTAATAGGTGAGTTTTTCGTTAGTGTTTCCATGTTTACATCATACTGGAGAAAGTACCCTGGGATAATTTGTTCAGTTTGCAAAAGATTACTGACTATAGCAAGCAGCTAACTCCAGGTGCCAGCTGTGAGCCATAAAGTCGTATATATGTGTGCATGTATACATAACTTGTTTTTGCTAATGGAGTCACCCTGACCCTTGTTGGCTCCAGATCTTGCTGAGGTTGCATGGCTTGGGTTCTGCCAGTTCCATTTTTTTTTTTAACTTTTCCTTTTTATGTTTGTTTCTAACCCTAATTTAGCCCCACCTCCCCACTCACACATACAAAACCCCTCTACACACCCAAAAAAAAAGAAAGAAGTGCTCTCGACTGCATGTTGGCATGTACATCATTTTGCTTTCTAAGTATTAACACTTGTTCTCACTCACCTTATTAGTGTGTGTAAGATACAATGATAGACCTTTTTATTTTGGGAGCCTTCCCAAGCCAATAAAAAAGAAAAAGAAAAAAAGAAAACTGTTAATAATAGTCAAAAACAAGTTGAAAGAATAACAATGAAATACCTAATTGCTGTAATCATTACACGGATAATTAACCGTTCCTTTTCTGAACTTTCCATGTTGCTATAGGAACTGTCAATATGCAGGTGTTTGTGTAAGTTCTAAATATTTGATAGAGGCCTTCAAAATGGAAGATTGACTAATAGATGCTAAGTTTGTACACCTGTGAACTATAAAGCTTGTGGTGTGAAAATAGGGAAAAGCGTAGAATTTTGATATGAGAGCATTGGAGCAACACAAATTATATAAGCATGGGGTTGCATTTTTTATCCTTTTACCAAATAAATGCTAAGTGAACAGGAGGAGGCATTTGAAATTTGATAAAGTGAAATGGCACATTTATCCTCTTACCAAATAAATGTTGAGAACAGTAGCGAAGACTATAAATTGGTGGTACATTTGTCATCAATTATCATAGTAGTGAAGTCTTGGCTTTTTTATTGTATGTAAAAGATTCTTGTTAATACATATGAAACATGCTTATCTTTTTTGGGCTATTCTGATAGTTACAATTGAGGATATATGAGCTGCAACACTTTAAAGCATGGCATCTTCTTGTATTCCCTTTTATTTGTTCATTGATCTATCTATTTAACAATTTTTTTCTGATTTATTTTAGTATGCTAAAAAAAATTTAGTTGCATATCATGTGACTGGTTTCTGTTTTCCAGGTCATACAAGCTTCTTCAAGTCTTAGAGTTCAGTAGTGCTAGTAAAAGAATGTCGGTTATTGTAAGGAATCCAGAGAATCAATTGTTACTTCTTTGCAAGGGTGCAGACAGGTTTGATTCCAAATGGACACCTTGTCTGTTGTATTGTGTTAGGATTTGCTGTATTAAGTAATTGATTTCTAATTTATTATATATCTACACACATTCAGTGTAATGTTTGAAAGGCTCTCAGAAAAAGGATGGGTATTTGAGGCTGAAACCAAAGAACATATCAAGAAATATGCTGAGGCAGGTTTACGAACATTGGTAGTTGCATACCATGAAATAGGTGAAGAAGAGTACAGAGTATGGGAAAAGGAGTTCTTGAAGGCCAAAACTTCTGTCAGTGAAGACCGAGATGCACTGATTGATGCAGCTGCTGACAAGATTGAAAGAGAGTTAATTCTCCTTGGTGCTACAGCCGTTGAGGACAAACTACAAAAAGGGGTTTGTATTAGGGTTGCTTCTATATAATTCTTGCTTAGTTTTTAACTTTTAAAAAAGTAAACAGTTATTAGTTCTGCTCTTTGTCTTATTAAATGGAAGTGTATGCTTATTATCTGTCCTATTACATAAGCGAACACCCCATTTTTTCATGTTTTCACCTTTTCTATTTTCCTAATAAACTGATCATCTTCTATAACTGGTCTACATCTTTCCATTCACTAGTGAATTGGGATGTTAATGGAAATTCCAAACTCTTTGGAAAAAATATGATTTAAACATCCACTTTTAATCATATTTGAGAGAGTGGGATAACCAAAGATTGAGAGAGAAGTGGTTAGAGGACAGAGTGTGGATGGGTATTAAGGGAGAGGAAAATAAATGGTTAATTATTATTTTCATAAATGGAAAAAAAAAATGACAATATGAAGTATAGTTCACATGTGTTGTGCATTACACGTTTCTAATGACCATAAAAATGGAGCCTATTTGAAAGGTTAGGAAGATCTGTTGGCATTCTTGCATAATGTCTTTTTGATCTAAATTACTGTTCTCTAATGGGGGAAAAAAATGACAAGATGAAGTAAAGTTCACACGCGTTGCGCATTACACCTTTCTAATGACAATAAAAATGAAGCCCATTTTGAAAGGTTAGGAAAATCTGTTGGCATTCTTGGATAATGACTTTCTGATCTAATTAATGTTCTCGTCTGTGAAGGTTCCCGAATGCATTCACAAGCTTGCAAAAGCTCAGATTAAGCTATGGGTGTTAACTGGTGATAAGATGGAAACTGCAATTAATATTGGGTATGGTGAGAAGTGATATTTAAAAATTAAAAAAAAATTATTCTCTTTCTTTTTGACCTTGAAGTTGCATATAGTTACTGTGATATTTTTGACAGGTATGCTTGTGGCTTACTAAGACAAGAAATGGTGCAGATAGTGATCACATTAGATTTTCCAGATATAAATGTCTTGGAAAAACAAGGGGACAATGAAACCTACAAAAAGGTACAGAATTTACAGTCTCAATTCCATAACAATTTGTTCTGATATTAAATTTGTGAAAAATATGATTCTTTTAGGCTTCAAAAGAAAGTGTAGAAAAACAAATAAGAGAAGGACTAGCTCAAATTGATTCAGCTAAAGAAACTTCCACATTTGGTTTGATAATCGATGGCAAGTCCTTAACGTATGCTCTCAACAAGAATCTGGAGAAGTCATTTTTGGATCTTGCAACTAAATGTGCTTCTGTTATTTGTTGTCGCTCATCACCTAAACAGAAAGCTCTTGTAAGTTTGTCATCTTGTTGAATGGAATTTAAAGGAATTTCTCTCTCTCTCTCTCTCTCTCTCTATATATATATATATTTTTCTCAAAGAATGGTTATTCTGTTGTAACTGTTATCAAAATAATCTGATAGAGCTGCTGAAGAAATGCAGGTTACGGGATTGGTGAAAAAAGTAACAGGTAAGACAACATTGGCAATTGGAGATGGGGCAAATGATGTTGGCATGCTTCAAGAGGCTGATATTGGAGTTGGCATTAGTGGTGTTGAAGGGATGCAGGTTGGTATTGTTTGATTACTTGATATCTATTGATGTGTCCATTTCCTAACAGCTTAAACTTTTGGGACAATTAGTGGCTTGAGATGGTGTTAGAGCTCTGGCTGAGGGAGATCATAGGTCCAAGTCTTGTTTCCCGTTTGCATTTTGCTTCCCTCTATGTATGTCTATTTGCATCTGCACATGCAAAATGGGGTTGCACGTGAAGGATGGTGTTGAATAGCTTGATACACATTGTTGAGTTCGTTTCTTAACAGTTTAAGCTTTTGGGACAATCGGTGACTTGACAGTTATAGCCTTGGGGGATGTTGTGTGAGTGTTGTTGGGGGGTGGGTGGGGGGTGTCTCATTCTTAAAAAACACTCAATCAACAACCTCATCATCTCCAACTGCTTTGGTGACTGTATGAATCCCATTTCATTAGTCAGCCCTATCTCTTTTATTTGATTCGTGATTAACAATATACTTCATTACTGCGAAGGAGGTTGTATTTAAAAAAAATATATATAGAAAATGTATGATCTCTTGGTGTAATCTGTATGTCTGGGATAGAGCATGCAGTCAGAACTGGCACAACGGTGACCATAATTGAATTTTAACAACAATTGGTTTATTTTTCATTTAATTGAAAAATGAGTGCTAATTTTTTAACTGATCAGCTTGTCCACATCGCCCATTCCATCGTTCTTTCTTTTCTAATAACTCTCATCTTTGCATTGGCATATAGTTGATTGGTTATGATCAGTTCTGGAAAAAGAAAAAAGCAGTGCCTTATCATTAGTTCGTCTTTCCTCTATGAAATCTTTGAATGAGTCGGCATGATGTGTGTTTCTTATAGATATTTGATGTCCAAAGAGTGAATTAAATTTCACAGGAGCAGAGACATTCTATCGTGTTCAGTATTTTTAACATTTGTGCAGCATCATTGCCTTCTGCTTGAACACACCCTTTAGATCACTATTAGGATAATTTGTTCATTACCGTGCTCTGTTGATATTCTTTTTCTGTCAAACAATAGTTGAACAGTAATGAAAACTTGGCCTATATTTCCAATTGGTTTTATTTTTTATTTTCACAACAGGCAGTGATGTCGAGTGATTTTGCAATAGCTCAATTCCGTTCTCTCGAACGACTGTTGTTGGTACATGGCCACTGGTGTTACAGGCGAATAACAATGATGGTAATTGTGACTTCATATGTATTTGCATCTCATTGGAAATTGCAAAAGAATTTCATAAGGACTATGATCAAATATGTTGACAAACAAATTCATTCTGTGGAGAATGAGACTCACAACTATATATTAAATGCTTCATCCTGGTGAAAGGTTTATTCCATCCTCTTGTTGAATGCAGATATGCTACTTCTTCTACAAGAACATTGCATTTGGCTTTACTCTTTTTTGGTATGAGGCCTATGCTTCCTTCTCTGGGCAACCTGCTTATAATGACTGGTACATGTCATTCTACAATGTCTTCTTCACTTCACTTCCGGTAATTGCTCTTGGTGTGTTTGATCAGGATGTGTCTGCACGACTTTGCCTCAAGGTGCAATTTTTTTTCTGTTTCTAACATCTGTATTATACACTAAGAATTTGATAGAAAAGGTGGGGGAGCAGGTAGAAACGGTGGAAACAAAAGAACTCGGTGGAATTATCAAAAATTAAGTTCTTGCAGCTAGGGCAGTTCAGGTGTTAGTGAATTTATTTGAGAAATTGTAGTCAATGTCTGATAAAGCGAAATTGCAATTCTTGTATTGGGTGTACTAGGAACGAATGAGGAAATGCTCTCTTGGCGCTGAAAAAGAGTGGTCTGTTCATCAAAACATGCCACGAGGGAACATACGGGAAACAAATCTGAAATTTATGTCAACTGGATTTCATTTCTGTTTTCCTCATTACCCTAATGCATATATTTTTACTTTTGACCGATAGAAATGTGTTGGAAATTTCCTAAAAGTTTCAAAACTTTACTTGTATTTATTTGTATTTATTTATTTATTTATATATTTTTTTTAACATCTTAAATGTTTGAATTTTGAATTAGTATTTGGTTTCAAAACAAAGGGTGTATCTGGTCCAAATAGACACCAAAGAGCCTATTTAAATAGGACTCTTACTCAAGAAACAAAAAACAACGTTCTCTATTTTCTCTCTCTCCTTCTTCTTCTCTTTACAATATTTTTATATTTCATATTTCTGGGCAATTGATACATTCTTGGCAAATTCTTCTGGTACAACTGTGCATTGTATCAGATCCTGGAAAGTTTTTGGGTTGTATCTTGGAGTCGTTTGTGATCGTTAAAACTTATACGGAGGGAGTTCATAACGACTTTAGGACAGCGTCTTTGACATGCCTCTCACAATCACACAGGCTATTTTCTAAACCATTTTCTTTATCTTTTACTTATTCTGTTATATATATGTATATATAATTTTATTGAATTGTAAAAACCTATGTTTTAGAATCTGTTTTGCTATTCTATAAAATTGATTTAAAATAATTATTATTCAATTCCCACAACAAAATGTTTGATAGAAATGTCTTAGCAGTTGGCAAAGTATTTTCATATTTTTACCTGCATCTTTATGCTTCCCATTGGTTGGTTTTGTCACAGTTTGTCAATTTTCCCATCTTTAAGTAGTGGGATTCTCGTCTTCGTTGTGTTCGACTCCAAGCGTAGATGAAGAAAAGTTTCTGTCAATTTGATGATAATCTCATCAACTCAAGAGTGATTGTACTACAAAACCCAAGTTGATTTGTTATCTCTACTCACTTGGATACACATCATATGTTCAACCTGGTTCCTTCGACTCCTTGACATGTTTTGCTGAAGCAAGGCCATCTATTAATCCTACTTTTGTTTGTTTTACAGTATCCCATGTTGTATCAAGAGGGAGTGCAGAACATCCTCTTCAGTTGGCCCCGCATTATTGGTTGGATGTGTAACGGTTTTATCAGTTCCATGATCATCTTCTTCTTCACTTCTGCCTCCACTAAACGCCAAGCCTTCCGTGAAGATGGTCAAGTAGTTGACTTTGAAGTCTTTGGTGTTATGATGTATACTAGTGTTGTGTGGGTCGTGAACTGCCAAATGGCTCTCTCCATTAACTATTTCACTTGGATCCAACATTTCTTCATCTGGGGCAGCATTGCCTTCTGGTATGCATTTTTAGTAATTGATGGTTCTCTCTCTCCGAAAGTATCGACAACAGCATATAAGGTTCTCTTGGAAGCATGTGCTCCGAGTCTGTTCTATTGGCTGGTCACCCTTCTTGTTGTTTTTTCCACTCTGCTACCTTATTTTTCTTACAGAGCTTTCCAAACACGGTTTCGACCAATGTACCATGATATAATTCAAATAAAACGATTTGAAGGGTTGGAGACCGAGAATTCTGGTGAGTTGTCTCCACGGATGAAGGACAAATTATACCATCTGAGGGAGAGCTTCAGGGATAATGAGCCATGAAACACAGGTATTTTCACAAAATGTAATTAGGTTTTTTTTCGTTTTTTTTTTTTTTTTTTTTTTTGAATTTTTTTAACATTTTAAGAAAATTTTTTAACATTTGTGAATAAATCTATGAGGCCACCACCGTTGGAAAGCTTACTTCTGGGGCTTCATTTTTTACTCAAGAATCTCCTAGAGCCAAGTGGGGGGGGGGGGGGGGGGGGGAGTGTTGGCAGATTGTTGTAGGAAAGATTTATGCACCATTTAACCATGTAGTTTTTGCAATGTAAAGCAAAGGATTTACGTTTTCAATGTTTACAATTTGTGCTTTGAACTGTCCATTTTGCTTTTTCTACCCAATTATTTGGTGGAAGTTCTCTTTAGTAAGAATTTATATGTAAGGCCATTCCAACATTTCTTTGCCAAAGTCAATTAAAAACACATTCAAGTCATGTTTGTCCGGAAACAGTACAAAAATCTTAGGCTTTGGCATTAGCCCATGGCTTTCCTAGACTGATTTCTAGAAAGTTCATACTGACTTATTATGAAAGGCCAGTTTAGAAAATAAAATGAAAATTAAAGAAAAAACATAATAAAATAACAAAAAACAAAACAAACAGAATTAGTGTAAACTTCATTAGAATAAAGTGACATTATTTATTTTCACTAAAAAAAATTATAGAAATTATATTACAAATATAATTGTCATTTTCATAAAAAACTAAAAAATAACTATTACGCTCAATTTTATGACTTTTACTCGCACAAAAAAAAAAAAAAAAAAAAAACATACTTACGCTCAATTCGCTGTTCGGTTCCAGTGTTCACGGTTTGTGAGACGAAAAAGTAAAACATTTATTAAATATTTGAAGTAGTTGAGATAAGATGGAAGCATAAAATAAAATAAAAAGCAATTTTTTAAGAATAAATTTGATAGTGACTCGGTTTCTAAAAGAGGGAACACTCAGTTGAGATTCTCCATTTATAATTATATATACAAGGTTATGTTTGGCATGAGTTTTTTTTGACTATTTTAATCACAAATAAATAAAATAATTTAAAAAATCAATAAAATAAATTGTCACATCTAAATTATAATTATTTTATTTTTTCTCTCACAAAAGTTAAAAAAACTAAAAAGCTTATTACAAACGAGACTTTTTAGTCTCGGACTAAAATAGTCAAAAAACTAACAAGCCAATTCACATCCCAAACGAAGGGTTAAGTGTAAAAAGAGGAAAATTCTATTTTCACTTATCAAATTATCTTTGTGTACATCTTTTCTTAATGCACACATTTAGTAAAATGATTTTTATTTGTTTATCTCAATCCACATTTCACATTCCAAATATACTCTCACCTTCTCTGTGCACATCCTCTCCTTCTATTATTTCTCACTCTAAAAATCTTAACCCTAACTACACCAACTACAGACGACAACCCTCAAATAAGGGGGATAGGTATTTTTTATTGTCCGAGGACTGCTCACTCTTGAGCAAGAGCATTGAGAAGCAGCAGCAATTTGACAATCCCATTCATTTATATTGTACCACATGCCTCATGCACAAATGTTGGCAGCCCCATTTTTTTCCTCACCAGCTCAATCTGGTGAGAAATTTACTCAAAATTAGGAACATTTTATATTCCAAAAACTTGAAAATGCTGTGTTTGGTTGGGAGATTTAGAGAGGGATTTGGAAAGGAAAAACGAAAGGGAAAAGATGTGTGAAACTAAGTGAAATATAAGTATGTTTTATTCACATTTTACCTACCTTTTTCATTTTTCTTTCCAAATCTCTCTTCAAATCCCCCAACCAAATACATTATTAAAGAATTGGTATGCCAAGAGGACAGACGTACAAAATAAGGAGAAAATAGGACAACCTGAGGGTGTGGAACCCTTGACTGATTTCACTTGTGACTCTGCCTGTAGACATTATGGCATCCTTTTGTTATCCCTACCAAGTCAGTTCTTGAAATGAAACTCAAGACTTTGATGGAGCTTGGGTTTCTAAGGATTTATTTGATGTTGTAAATAGCACCGCCAGTGAAATGACGCAGGGGATGCATTTGACACTGTATTTTCAATGGCTTTCTTTAAAATGTTTCAAGCATCATCCTCACTCTTGAGCAAAAGCATTGACAAGCTACAGTGTCTTGCTTGTATACAGTATGAATGTTGTGTATGGCTGAGGTGTGGGCATGAGAGACGATGGCCGGTAGTGAAGTGACTAGTGAGATGGTGGTGGGTGAGATGTGTATGGAAAAATTGTGAGATATGTGGGTGAGATGATAATTTTGCTAAAGGATAAAATTGTGATTTTGAAATAATTTATTAAGTGTGTGGAATAAGAAAACTTGGTGTGTGAAAATAACATTACTCGTAAAACGATGATAAGCCAAATATTCAATCCAAACTTATTTATTTATTAATAAGCCCTTCAAAAAGATTAGTTTGACCGCAAGATATGCATGGTGATTGAATTCATGTACCTTCATTTATTTATTCATTCACCAACTCTTATGAACAATATATAAATAAATAAATAAAAGAAATGACGAAGTCACAGACAATCAGTTAGAAAACAAACATTTCTGTTAAAAAATTCCACCAAGACTTGATAATACTCCACACCCAATTTTGTGAAAAGTTTCTAGTTGATGTTATCATTATGAAAAAAAATGCTATATAATGTAAATTGTAATAATCGACGCATTAATAAGAAAAGTTTACAAAAGTTATTAGTTTGTATAGCATTACTCTATCATTATAATGCTATATGATTTCACATTTTTTTGGACTTAAAAATATAGTAATTGTGCTATATATATTAATGTTTGTAGTTGTGTAACACGCATAAAAAGAATTTACAAAATGAGATATAAATGTAACCCAAAATCTGCACATTGCCAATAAATATTCACATCCATAATTACAAACATTTTAATTTACAACTGTACATTCTGTGCACATGAATTTTTCTTATGTTGGTCAAGTAACAATCTCATCCAGCTCAGAATGAAATAAAACTCGGACTTGCTACATAAGTTTTCTAAGAGGAAGTGTTGTAGGCAAGCATATCCCTAACTATTTGCCCAAGCTGACATATTTAAAAAATAAAATTTCCCTATTTGAATTAGCCTCCGTTTGAGAAGTAGGTTGGCTTTTTAGCTTTTTTTTAATTTTTTTTGTGAGGAAAGATTGTAATGATTATGAGTTGGATTTGATGTTTTGTTTTTTGTGACTAAAATAGCCTATTTTATTTTTTGTGACTATTTTAACCAAAAAAATCTAACTTTTTTCTTCCCAAACGAAACTTAGTTTTTTCAAATCAACATTCATTCAATCTTTTAAATTTTGTATGGGCTTCATATTTGCTTTTTGCATTTTTAGGAAAAGTCAATCCTAATATTTACCCAAAAACTAAATAAAAATATTTAAAAACTATCTCAAATATGACAAGCATTAATGAGTGCTACAAGAGTTTGTTTGAAAAATGATATTTTAAAATTAATTTTTTAATTTTTTACAAAAAGACATAAAAAAATAAAACGAATAAATTGACTTTTATATTGACTTTTTGACTAAAATCTTTTCTTTCCAAAATAGCTAGCGTGGAATTAAAATTAGTACAATTTTTAGAAAGTGTTTTTTAATTGGTGAAAAGTGCCATAATTTTTATTTTTATTTTTAAAAGTGTGTTATATCTTTTTAATTTATTTTTTTTCTCCTATGCAAAGGAAATAAAATAAAAGGGATTTGGTACAAATTGACACCAAAGCTAACAGTATTTTTGGGGCATGTTGATGTGTATTAGGTCAGCAATTAGGTGTGCTAATTAATTGATAGTAATATAAACCAAACCAACTAATAAGATGGACACAAGTCTTAAGTAGTAGTATTTGTTTGTTGCACATTAATTATTTCCACCCTCACTCTCACTTATTTTTATTTTATTTTAATTACTAATAATAATAATAACAAATTAATAGAGGTGCCTTTTGTGGTGAAATGTAGATTCCTCCCTACTAGTCTCCATCCAATTGCCATGAACTTTCAAAGGAAATACTTCCTAAGCAAGTTTTTCTTGTTATCTCTATCAAACTCATTAATGAGCTTTGCTGTGATGTCATTTTTTTAATCAGTAATGGGTTTTACATTAAAGAGGGAAGTAGCAAGTCATTTCGGCTGTCGTATACATTGGGGTTAATGTGCCATATTGATAATCATTAGAAAAATGTTTAAAATACTTAAAAAAAAATTGTCACAATATAGGTTTAAGGGGTCTTTTAAAAAGTGAGTTATAATTCACTTCTTAGATTATAATTCATTTTCCTCTCTCACAAAAATTTAATTATAATCAGTTTTTAATCGAAAACCTGATTATAACTATCTTTCTAAAATAGCCCTAACTTTTTGTTATATCATTGTGAGTGAATTTGTAAATTTAAAATTGTGAGTTTCTAACACAGTAAAATATCATTAATGTTAACAAAAAATTACTAAAATGTAATAAAAGAAGAGATCATTAGTCTGACCCATTGTCGATCCATCTCGATACTAAGCCTTCGTTTGGTAAACACATTGGGCCTATATAAGCACATAAAGATAAAAAAAAAAAAAAAGTCACAAAATTACCAAATAACAAAACACTTGATTTTTGATGTAAAATTACCAAATTGACCTATATACAAATAAAAAGTATCATTTCCAAGTGGAGGGCATATTTGTCATTTCAATATAAAAAAGTCAAAAAAACCAAATCAAAAAAAATCAAACGAACAAAAAATTCTCAGACTAAAAAAGTTAAAAAGTCAAATTCACCAAACGACCCATTTAATCCGTTTACCTTGTAAATAGTTTGGATAATAAATACAGGCCCCCAGTGAGACTCATAGCGAATTGAATGGTGAAATTATTACTCAACAATTCATCTGGAGAAAAGGCTGAAAATATTCCAAAAAAAAAATTAATTAGAGAATTGATTCACTTTTTAAATTATTTAAAAAAGTAACCTACTTTTTGAAATCGCATTTTCAAAATACGATTTTAAAATTGAAATTACATCTTGAACATAAAATTTCATCTAAAAATTGCAAGTTGAAAATAATAACATGGTGAAATTGCATGTTCAACATGCGATTTTAAGATGATATTGCATGTTGAAAATATAATTTTAATTTCAAAATCGCATTTTCAAAATGCGATTTCAAAAGAAATCAGTTTCCCAAATAGTTTTAAAAACAGGTCAATTTTAATTTCTCAAATAGTTTAAAAAACGGGTCAATTCTCTAAATAATTTTTTTTTTTTGAATATTAAAAAAAAATCATAAAAATAGGCCAATATAGTAAAATTAGTGTACGGAGCAATGGTATTATATTCCTTTAAGAAGTAATACTAGAAATTCACACTTTTAAATTTATAAATTTACATATAATGTTGTGGTAAAGGGATAAGATATAAAAATACTAAAAACTCTAAAAATTCTATCAAAAATTTTATTAAATGTATTGTGAATTTACATGGGACCCACATTGTGTGAGTCTTTGATAAAATTTTTAATAAAATTTTTGAAGTGTCTAACATTATTATATCATTAAATATATAACAAATTAAAAGTTGACACATACATTACAATATTATTACGAGTACAATAATGAAAATATTTTGTGGATCTTACCCATTTTATTTCTTTAATATTGTTGTCCAAAATGGAATATCCTTCTAGAAAGTCCACGCTTTTGATGTGTTCTAGAAATTAAAAAATCCAATACCTTAAATTCAAGTTGTTTGGAAACGGAGAAAATTTAGTTCTCGTCGGACTTTTATGCCCAATTTACTTGCCATTATTATTGTCATATTGCCTATTCTTTCAAATGTTCTAGATTATGATGAACTTGTCTAACCACTTTACAGTATAATCTATTTTAATTATAACTGTACTCCAAGCAGTATTATAATATTATTCTAATGTTATTTTTTAATGCAATTAATTAATGAAAAAACAGGCTATATATTCAAAGAAAATAAAAATAAATATATAAGAACCTTTTTTTTATTAACAATAATAAACACATTTTTTTTTATATATAAGTTTTTTTAGTGGATAAGAAATGTGAATGTGTGGACATATTTTTTGGATAGTTCACGTGGTTGAGGTTGTTGGTCGATGTGCCACGTGACAGACTATGGTGTCGAGATATGGTGCAATAATACCGAAATCCGAGGTATTTGAATAGAGGAATAGAGTCTAAATGACATTAAACTACTTATTTGGATAGAGATAACACTCTTGAGGAAGTTCATCTTAATCTGAATAGTGTGAGTTCTGATAGTTGTTGTCCTTGTAAAGGATAGAGTTCCTTGAAGTGAGATTTCTAAGAGAAGTTGGACACTGACCAAAGTAAGGCACCCCGTGGGTCTAAGGGATGCTTTTATTTGTGATGCGACTTGTGCATTGAGTACTTATTTGATATTTTTGAGAGATAAGTTGATTGACTTGTTGACTGATTTAATTGTCCGAGTGTCCCCGGATGGACGAACCACCGTATTATTCTCATCTTCTTATTGGTAAGTGGTTGACTTAATCTATGGAGTGCCCCTGGGTAGACGAACCACCGCGGTATTGTTATCTTCTTGTTGGCAGGTGGTTGACTTAATCTATTCTGTCGCGTATTCTCCAGCTAAGTTTCCGTTTAGTTGTGTGGTTAAAAATCAACACCCACAATGAATGTGTAACAATTTTCTAATTATAATTATCTGCTAAGGCCATGTTTGTTTAATCGGGTTAGAAAGGAAAATTGAATTAGCATTTTTTTACAAAATTATTTTATGTCTTCTGTTTTGGTCACTAATAATAACAGACTAATTGTCTAGTTAGATTTTCTAATCTCCCAAATGGTAAAACAAATATCACCCTCCTGGTAAATAATACGTTCTTTGGATTTTCTAAGTATATATAATCTTATCTAACTATCCGATGGAATGAAAGTAAAAATGCACGACTCCAAATCAAATGATGCAAGAAAAAAATGTAAGAAACCAAAACAAACACAACCAAAATTGATTCGAAACATTTTATTAAAATTTAATTTTCAATTATGCAAAACAAAGACGTAAATGATGACGTGTATCCATTCAGAAGAATTGAATGCAATGTCTTTTTCATTATAAATGGTAGAAATCTGAATACTAACCTTTGTGCCCATAATCTCATTATTGTCATAATGTTAAAATTATAAAATTTCCAAGAGTGGAGAAAAAAAATCTAAGAAAATCAGGAAAAATTATAAATTTATTTCATGCCCTCATTCATTAAAAATCAATTACAAATACATTCATTAAAATTTGCTTAAAATTTAAATTATTCATATAATACTAAAAATTATAAATATTTGTCATTCACTGAGTTGTTAGAAAAATAAAAATTTCTAACTATCATTCTATATAATAATGAAATTACTATAATGGTTAAGTAAAATATATTATTGATTTTATTAAAAATTATTATTTAGCTTAATAAATAATTAATAAAAGGAGTTGTATGTTATGTAATTAAAAATTTTAAGAAGGGAGATCAAATTTCTAAATCACAAAGACAAATTAATATTTTAAACAAATCTTAGAAAATTATATTTAAAATTTACTTACCAAACAGGTCATAAAGTGCCGACTTCAATATGTAGGTTATAACTTAGGAAAATGATTGGTGACCCTAAAAAAGTTGCCCTTAATATCCCTAATTTCCATTTTTGGAAACTGTTTTTTTTCGGGACATTCGGGCCACCTCATTTCGGGCCTCAATCACTGCCGTATAACTTATGTGCGTAAGAAACTAAAGTAGAAAGAAAATGCCAAAATGCAAGCGGCGAAGGACACGGGAATTCATAGGGAAGTTATTGGACGGTCCGGGACAATGCCACGCAGCGTTTTATGATGGATGAAAAGGGTAATTTTATATTAAATAATTAAAAAATATAAAATTTTATGACTAATTTAAAATATAATCACGCGGTACTTTTACACTAACTACTAATAATTTTTCCAATTCATATGATTCTGGAAACACTCGTGTGTGTACTATCCATCTATCGTGTGGTTGATACATACATTACAATATTATTGCGAGTACAATAATGAAAATATTTTGTGGATCTTACCCATTTTATTTCTTTAATATTGTTGTCCAAAATGGAATATCCTTCTAGAAAGTCCACGCTTTTGATGTGTTCTAGAAATTAAAAAATCCAATACCTTAAATTCAAGTTGTTTGGAAACGGAGAAAATTTAGTTCTCGTCGGACTTTTATGCCCAATTTACTTGCCATTATTATTGTCATATTGCCTATTCTTTCAAATGTTCTAGATTATGATGAACTTGTCTAACCACTTTACAGTATAATCTATTTTAATTATAACTGTACTCCAAGCAGTATTATAATATTATTCTAATGTTTTTTTCTAAATTTGGTCTACCGATAAATTTGCAGAAATTGCTGATAAAGTAACCAAAGAGTGTATCAGAGACGACGACGATGAGAGACATGTCTCGAACGAACTCGACGACGACGACGATGATGATGATTTCGAATTCTCTTTGGTACGCGGTGATTCTGATGTAACTGCAGATCAGATATTCGGTCAAGTTCGTCAGGTTTTCCCGATATTCAATCGCGATCTTCTGATTCGCGATGATCAGGATCGTGATGCGAAGCCTGATGTATCTACTCTGCGACTTCCTCTGAAGCAATTGTTCATTGAGGACCGCGACGATCGTGATTCTGTGTCGTCGTGTTCATCTGAAGCGGACGAATTGGAAGGCGTACCTTCGGGAACGTACTGTGTTTGGAGGCCCAAAGAGGTTGCAGGATCTCCTAGTAGATGCAAGAAGAGTAATTCGACTGGATCGGCATCGAAGCGGTGGAAGTTACGAGATTTGATTCGTCGAAGCAACAGCGCAGGGAAAGACGCGTTCGTGTTTTTGACTCCGAAGAACACAGAGCATAAGGCTGAGAAAATCGAGCATGTCGAGAAGGCGAAGGAAAGGCGGAACTCCGGCGAAGCCGTCAAGCTGAAGACGAAAGGCGGCGAGAAGGTGTCGCCGCCGTCGTCGGCGCACGAGGCGTTTTATGTACGGAATAGAGCGTCGAAGGAAGGAGAAAAGAGAAAGTCGTATCTTCCGTATAGGCAGGACCTTGTAGGGTTCTTTGCGAACGTCAATGGAATGGGAAAGTCCTTCCCTCCGTTCTAAAGATCCCCTTTTTGCTCTGTTCTTCCCTTTCGTAGAGTTTATAGATACATACATATATATTTTTTTACAATCTCTATTTTCAAAAATTTCCAGTGAATTAGTTTGTTCTGTTTTTCTTTTCTTTTCTTTTTTGTTTTAAATAATTTTTTTGTTTGTTCTTTAATGAGAACTTAGTACAGATGATGTTAATTACTTGTATATGTTATGTATTATTATATTTACTATTTCTCATCATGGTCGGTGCATATGGATTTGATATTCGATTTATGAGACTGATTAATTGGAAAATTAATTTAACCACCTACTTGTGAAGAGTCCAAATTAAAGCGTTTGTACTTGCGAAATTTGGAACTTACAATTTTAAAGAAAACACACTCTCAAACCCTAAATCTACCAACCCCTGAGGTTGTAAGATGAAGTTTCTATATCGGAGATGTGAAACAATTGAAGGCAATTGTGACTGGGTATCTAATATCTATCACCTATCTTCTTCTGTTTCTGTGTGGATTTACTTTCATGTCTCTCGCATTTTTCTTTACTTTCAATTCTTACATAAAAATTAATTACAGAATTCCCATTTGTGGCCTTGTGAAATATTTATATCCAATTTCTATATTTTTAGATTTTTTTCTCTGAATTTCGGACAATGACACTTAGGCCCGTTTGTTTGTTTGGCTGTTTCAGTGACCAAACTGGAGTAGGATTGTTATGGGTCTTACCCACAACATATTTAATGTTGTTTGGGACGTTTCAGTGACCAAACTGGAGTAGGATTGTTATGGGTCTTACCCACAACATATTTAATGTTGTTTGGGACTGTCGGCTTTATAGTCTGAGCGGCTTAGTAATCTCCCTTAGTAGAGGGATTAGCTTAACTGAGAAACAAGTTCTTACATAAAAATTAATTACAGAATTCCCATTTGTGGCCTTGTGAAATATTTATATCCAATTTCTATATTTTTAGATTTTTTTCTCTGAATTTCGGACAATGACACTTAGGCCCGTTTGTTTGTTTGGCTGTTTCAGTGACCAAACTGGAGTAGGATTGTTATGGGTCTTACCCACAACATATTTAATGTTGTTTGGGACTATCGGCTTTATAGTCTGAGCGGCTTAGTAATCTTCCTTAGTAGAGGGATTAACTTAACTGAGAAACAAGTGAGATTAAGAAAATAGTTAGCGTTTCACTCTGTCTCGTCATCTACTCCGACGTCCGATATAATGTAATATTTTTTTTTTTGGACAAACATAGCTGGCCTTTCAAAAAAACATTCAGCTAGCCAAAAAAAATAGCTAGCCGGCCAACTCTTTCTTTTTTTTTTTTAACAATCTCAAGTGCACCTTTTGTTTTAATATTTATGTTAATTTTTTTAATATAGAAATGTTGTTTAAATTTATTTTATTTAAAAATAATTTAACAATCTCATCATTAATAATGTCTCATATTATTATTAAAATAAATACACTTTTATTTAATATCTTCTTCACACTAATACTCTCTTTATTAATCATTTTCTCATTAATAATTTTTTCCAATCTAATGATAGTTGTAACTAGGATAATCAATATTGAATCATGATAGTAATATTCATGAACCTTTATTATTATTATTATTAATGTAGGTTTAGGGCCACCGTTGGTTACAATTTTTTTGGTCACGATCATAGGAAAACTATTTTGAATCAAACTTGTTTGTTTAATCTAGTTGTAGCTTTGCAATCATTAAATTGCATAAAAAAAAAAATCTAAACGAAATTTAAAAAATAAAAAATAATTTTTTTTATATTAATTATAACATAACATAAAATAACAAAATTTAAAAATAAACTCCACTTAAATAATAAAACACGTTACACAAATTTAGAACACCATAACGGCAATATGATACGTTCATATGACCTAAAATAAAATTTATTTCAAATGGATTTTTTTATAAGAAATTAATTTTTTTAATAAAATTGTGAAAAAATGATTTTACCTTTAATACACCATAAGGGCAATATAATACTTTCTTATATCAAAAAACAAAATATTAGAGAAAACAAAATTTAGCAAGTCCGTTAAATGTGCATAGAAATTGGTCATATAATATATATGAATAGACAAGATTTTATGTAATTTGTTAGTAGAGTTCACTTTTAAAAAATCTAACTACTTTATATGTTTGTAGAATTTTTTTTTTAGCAATTACAAAATACATCCGTTTTTTAAGTTTTTAAAAAATAAAAAATAAAGAAAATTACTGTAAAAACAATTGCCAAATCCCATCTAGGTCAACCTTTTTTGTAAGACAAAAAAGGAATGAATGGGAAAACAAAATGGAAAAAGAGTTTTAAAAAAAAATTGAGTTAAATTCGTATTGGAAAGATGCAAGTGAACTTTTTCTTTTCATTCCTTTCTTCTATTTTATTTTATTTTTTATTATTTTATAGTGGAAAGAAATGTAAATAAAGAAATTTGAAAACTATTTCATTTACGGCATTTAAAGAATATTACAGCTAAGCCTTGGTTAGTGTTAGGAGATCCAGAGATTACTATCTCCATCACAAAATTATAATAGAAGATCTCTATTATATTATTTAAGAATTTGTAATGATTCTTTTTAAATTTAAAATAGTAATAAATTTTTATAATTATTTCATAACTTTAATGGAGATCTTCCATTATAACTATGTAATGGAGAAGATTTTAGCCCGATTCGCAGATAGTGGAGAGATTGATGTTCCATTCTTAACTTAGAAACTAAATTGAAAAAGTACTTTTGATATGTGTATATGCATTTGGAATGTTCAAAAAAATTAAAAGAAAAGTGTTTGGATAAACGTGTGAAAACCATTTTTCTTTTTCAAAGTATTTTTAATTGTGTTTTTCTTGGTGGAAATCTTTTTCATTTTTTTCTTGGTGGTGTGACACCATTTTCATTTCCCACTTGATGAGATAAAAATTACTAGGAATTTCTCCGCGTGTAAAGAAGGGTCCTATTCCAATTGTTTGGTTGGGGAAAAGGGAAGAGAAAAAGAAAGGAAAAATAAAATAAAATTCACTTCTAATCATATCAAATGGTTAGGGCAAAATGATTTCAAGTTATTGAACAAGTTTACTATGCTTGTGTTTGGGAAGCGTGGTTGTGGGAAGCGTGGTTGAGGCTAAATTAGCCAGATGACGACAAACTAGGCTTATTTAGCCACTTCACGACAAAGGCTCCCCAACGGGTTGGAGAGGAACCGTTGTTCGGGTAAATTTACCAAAACACCCTCAAACAAATCAGAGAGGTGTTTATTATCATATATTGGTGAATCAATAATATACAACTTGTTTGGTTCTAATTTTCAGAAAATTCTACTTTTTTATTTTTTATATTTTAATGTTTTCAATCAATTTTTTTAATATTTTAAGCAATTTTTTTAAAATTTTTTTTAGACACATCTAACATAAATACACTTAAAAAGTACAATATTTGTGATTTTTTTTTTTTTAAAAATACACTAAATATCAAAAAATACAACCAAAAAAAAATTGAAAATCTAGTATATTTTTCATATTTTTGTGTATTGATTCATTTTTTTAAATATTTTTTCACAAATATTTTTCTATTTAGATACATCTAAGTAAGGTGCATCTAAAAAAATAAAAAAAAAATTACTTAAAATTTAAAAAATATTCACTAAAAATAAAAAATATATATTAAAATAAAAAAAATTTAATTTTCAAAAAAACTGAAATCAAACATACTTATGGGTGTTCAGAGTAGTCCAAGTTTGGAGGGAACGAGGCAAAGTGATCAATACAAGTGACCATATTTTAACAGCTGTGTTAATCATCAAATTCTTGGAATCAAATAGAAGTTTTGAGCAAAAGATAAAAATAAAAATATAATATAATGATAATATCAAGTGACTATCAAGACAAAAGATTATTATTTAAAACCTTAAACTTTACTATTTATATATAAGTATCACAATTTCATAACTTTTCATATATGTATATTAGTATAAATTTTGTTAACGAGTGTGTTAAGAATTATATATATATATATATATAAGAGTTGATGTTATATATATATATATATTTTGTAAGAGTTGATTTTTTTATGATTTTTTTAAAATCTTTTTTTAATAATTTCTAAATTTTTTTTGACTAAAATAACTATTTGACAAACTGGGTCCAATAGCCATTCCATCACATATATAAATGGAAGTGGGCAAGTCATATTGATCCATCCATTTTCTTTTCTAGAGTTTGATACATTGCTTTCTTGATTTGAAGGAGAATGGAAAAGCTTCTTCAATTTGTGCTCATGCTAGTGCTCCTAATTGTGACCATGTTCACAGTCATTGCACCAGTTTTAGCTACCAGAACAGGCCCAGATGCTGCACCAGTTGTAGCTACCAGAGCAGGCCTAGATGCTGCACCAGTTGTGGCTACCACAACACGCCCAAATGCTACCGTAGGGTTTGCCCGTTTTTGGGGTTGTCCTTGCCCTGCAGTTCTCATCTGTTGCGGTAAATGATTACAGATATAGAACCAACTACATAAAGCAATTCTGATTATTCATATCAGTTTGTGGGAAAATAAAAATAAAAGATATATTTTATGTAGTTGATTATGTGATCAGTTCTGTATTCGTAAACTTGTTATACAGATAAATGTGTTAGTCCTGTTCGGTTCTTCTAAGTATGTAAGAGCAACTCCAACCATGCTCTTTATTTTTCACTAGCTAAAGTATAAAAAAATGACACTCTTTATTTTACCTAATTAGTTTAGCTATTGTATGTTCCAATCATACTCTTTATTTTAACTAGTCATTCAAACTAACTAAACCAATTTTCAAAACAAAAAATGCTATATATATTACTATTTTTTTCATAAAATGCCACATACGCACCAAACGCTAATATGGTTGCCAATGTGACATTTGCGATAATATTTTAAAAAATAATATTTTTTAATATTAGTTTTAAAAATATTATAAAAAATAATG